CTTATCGAACGAAATTAACGAGCCGAACACAAGCTTCTTAACGAGTCGAACACGAGTTGTTCGCGAACAACGAGCCATTTTGACAGCCCTAGCAATTACTTTCTCGTTGCTCCTTATAACTTGAGGAGAAGACAATCGCCGTCTCCCTCTGAGAATTACCCACCACGTGGGCAAATGAGATTTTTCCAGTTTCAACCGTAGACGAATGAAGCTCCATCATAGCAAATCACATAAATCACAGCAAAAAAGCTCTGTCCGACAATTCTTGAAGCCGCAAAGCTCGTAGCTCGACGAGGCAGAGTTGCAGCGAACAAGAGCGAGAGGAAGTCCCACTACCTATGTGCAGATAAGTTGAGTGGTTAGACACATGAGATTAGTTGGAGGCTCATATCATAGCCTCTGACTAATCTTTATATATATATATATATATATATTGTAAAGCCCAAGGGCAATTATATTAAAGAGAAAGGGGTACAGATAGGCTGTATGAGTAGACCCAAATAGACACCCAACCCATACTATATAACACAGAAAAAAAAGAAGAAAATTAAAAACCCAAAAGTAGATGGTGCATAAAAGATCAATCAGGTTGACCCACTTTAGTTTTGCCTCTGCCTCTAGTTCTCGGAAATGAACCAGCTAACAGATTGGTGAGGTGTGTACCATTGTCCGAAGTAGCCAGAGTATCATTCATTAGATTCCTTAGCTCAAGTAGATCTCCATTTTTCTTCTTCCTTCTGAAAGTGTAGACCTGTCATTCCTCATCCGAAGATTGTCGCTCATTCGGATGAGGTGGTAGTGCTGCAGTAGAAATATTGCCAACAGTTGTGCCAACAAGTGTATGTGTGGTAAGAGTTGTCGCCTCTACCCCTGATATTTCTTGAAGGTGGGGAGCTACAAGGTTCTCCTGATTATCTGTCCGCGTAGGTAGGGGTCCTTCATTATTGTTTTCAATAGGGTTTGAAAGTGTAGGTTGCTCTGCAGGGCCATCAAGCTTCTCATCGATCGCAAAAACAGTATTTTCATAGGGAGGGTCCATAGGGGCAATAGAATCAGACACCAAATCCTGTCCCATGATAATTTTCTCTCTAGGTGGATTATATATATCCTTAGATCCATTTTTATTCACTTGATCTTTAGATTTCAAATTAGGATGAAGCTTCTGACATTTATCAAGGGTATGCCCAAACATCTTACAATGAGAACAATAAGGAGGTCTATACTCCATGACGATTTGTTGCCAATATCCATTATGAGTTGTGCCCAACCAGACTTCGGTAACATCAGGTAAAATAATATTTCTTTCAACAAGTATTCTGGCTACAGAAGGTCTGGATGGGTTAAAAGTGGGTAGATCTAGCTTCAAAGGGTCCCCAAGTATGACACCAATAGAGTAAAGAACCTGATAAAGTGTAGCTGGAGCACAGGTAGACTAAACCATACTTGTACAGTAGAAGGTTCATGATTGGGGTCAAAATCAAGAGACCGCTTGAGTAGCTTCATAAGTTTACCAGCGATGTTAAAATATTTTATGGAGAAAATCCGATTGTAGTCCTCATGCACGGCTAACTGAATCAATACACGTCTCTTATCCATGAGCCCTACTTTTTACTTTCCTGTAAATTTGAGGTCATAAAAAATTTTCCTGATTATTTCCATAGGTGGGCGTCCCCACTGAAATTTCTCAATAAGATCAAATTTGAATCTGTCAGTCAGCATTGAAATTTTTGACAAAGAAAATGAGTGTCGTCTTCCCACTTTTTCTGTTTGCATTCTTAATAAAGGGGCAGTCACCTGTACCATCACAACGCTTCTTATAACTTGAAGGCAAGACAACCACCATCTCCCCTTGAGGATTAGCCATTGCGTAGGCAAAGGAGATTTTATCAGGTTCAACCAAAGAAGAAGTATCTTTTTTTCATCACAACAAAAAAAGCCCTGCAAGTCGGGCAGAGGGCAAAAAGACAAGCTGGAGAGCTCGGGGCGAAGCTGCGCAGAAGACATGAACTGCAGAGGAAATTTCAGCTTGGCACACAAGAAACCGCAGCTCGATTCGCGCCAAAAAGAACCGTAGAAGCTGGAAGGCTAGCTAGAAGGTGCAAAGGAGGAGATGACGAAACCACAGAACCAGACGCCGAAACCCTTCTTCGTTTGGCGCGAAAGAGAAGATGGCGATCGCATGGTAGTCCTTCGTCATTGTCGTTGAGTGTGGGAAATGCGTCGTCGTCGTCGAGTGCGGGAACTTCGTCGTCGAACATGGAATCAAATTAGGGTTTCGCAATCTGGCAAAACCCTAGCAAAGTAGATCGCAATCGTGTCGATATGTATGTATGTATGTATGTGTGTGTGTGTGTGTGTATATATATATATATATATATATATCTGTGTGTGTGTGTGTATAGACACACAAAAATCTTAATTAGTTATAATTTAAATAAATGGTATTTTAGATTTTGATTTTAACAGAAATATTTAATTTAGTTTTTATTTTAATTTTTTTAAACTTAATTAGTTAGTAATATTAATTCATCATTCCTTTTACTAATGTTGCCTCACAAATTTGTCCATGTACATTTTGATTTGCTAGTCAAGCAAATTGCACTGGGAAAATATTGCTTCTCTTTCATTTAATAACCCATACAATACGGGTGTCCTCTGTTAGAGATTTCAATATTTTAGTTGCGTCGATGCTATCCATTTTTCAAATGGTTGAACTCTAGCTGACGTGCTGATAAATAATGCATTGAGCATTTTGGTTTGACTTTAACTAGGAATAAAGGATGTAAGACCTTGAGATTGAGCGCTGCCTATAAAGAGTTTAGGGTTGGGAGGTGAAAGAGGGTGTAGAAGACTCATTGAAAGTATAGGAAAACTAATTTGGGGTTGTTGATTTTGAAAATCAGCAAGAAAAAATTAGGGTTAGTTAATATTTGGCTAGTTTGGGAATAAGAAAGAAAAAATTTGGTTGAGGTGACTTGGGTAGGGGTGGATGTTCGGAAACATTAGGACAGGACTAGGGTTAGGCTATCTCTGATACCAAATGATACCAGAGTTAACCCAAACTACAATTGAAATAGTAATATTATTGCAAAATTCGAATAGGGTTACTCAACAAGGGGGGAATTTAGAAATGTATGCACATCAAGTAAGGAGGCTGTCTTGTGTGATGACGGTGAGGGGAGGGGGTGGATAGCGATGAGACAACAAGAAAGAGGTGTGTCCTGGCTGCCTTGGGCGGCGACAGCGCTGTTGGAAGGGTAGGATAGCAGGGAAGAGGTGCGGTTTGAATAGCAGCAAAGCTGGGAGGAAGTGGGAGGTGCCTGGGAAGCTGGGGAGGCAGAAAACAGCTAACGGAAGGCTGTTGTAGCTGGTTGTAGTGATATCAATGACCGGGAGGTGTGGTTTTAATATTACCGTTATTATTATATTCATTATTATTATTATATTAAAAGATCGGTTATTACATATTATTATTATATTAAAAATTCAGTTACGACATACTGATGACACTGCTTTTTCCTTAATCTTTTCATTCTCATTTCAAAATCTATCAATGATTGTTTTATTGGTATGACCTATTTTGTCCCTTGTTGGTTTTCTTGCAGTCAGTTCTTGTTACGATTGATCGTCATGAATGGTATGCTCCTCCTCAGATATATACACGTAATGACAACACAGGGTTTTGGACGGCGAAGACTGCAATACCGCCAGATTCTCTGCTTCGTGCTTCTAGACTTCAAACAAATTCAATTCCTGTTTCTTCATTGAGGAACTCTGTTCCTGTGGAACGTCAACATGATATTAATAATGAAAAATGGGAAGATGTTTGCACAGAAAAGGAGAGTATTGATCAGGCTGTTCTTGAAGGATCATACACAGATGATGTTAAAATTGTGTGTAAAAGAAGGCGTCTGTGGGACAATACATGCAGTAAAGGAAACAGTGAATCTAATGGAAGCGTTCATGCATTTAAGGAATCAACTCCTACACAGACTTCGAACTGTGAAAACAATGATCTTTCAGGCAATATGGCTGTTACATCAACAAATGCATCTTTAGCAGAACATGTGATCGGGCCTGCTCTTGTGATGTTTGAAGTTGGTTCTCTCTCATATTTGATAATTAAAAGTTTTTTTCTTAATTGTAAATGAAATTTATGTCATTTTGTCAAATCCTTGTTGATTGGCAGGGATTATTTTGATGATGATACCAAATTTCTTGGTCACACCTTCCCTTTCTTCTTTGAACAAATTTTATTTTTTTCTTTTGCATAATCCTTTTTGGTATATTACTATTTTTCCCGAGAAGGAAACTTTTATAAGATGGTGGTGAGACCTGCAATCTTTTATGGTACCAGAACTAGTAGAGAAAACAATAGCAACACAAAAGCAAATTTTTTAATAGGGAAATAGGTTTACAACACAACACAACAAAAAAATAATAACACCAACATACATGACACAAGCAACGCCTTTAAGGTGTATTCCAAGGGCGGTGAATGTCGGCTAGGTGGATTGGGATGGTTGGCAATGGTGGTGGCAACTAAAGAATGTTGATGACAGCATTGTAGAGACAGGAAGTATGGAGGATTGTAGGTGGCCGAAAATAGGTGAAGGTTGGCTGTAAGGTGTTGGATAATAAGGTAAATGCAGGAGATGGAGCGACAGAGGCCGGGGAAGGGGATTAGGAGTGACCTACGGTTATGGGGAAAGAGGAGAAGAGCTAGATGGCCAAAAGGGAGGAAGATACATACCTCCTTGGAGTAGGATACAACCGAAGCACCACCTCCTTCTTGGATACAACTCACAAAGGGAAAAGAAATCCACACATGAATTTGAAATCAACACAGCAAATAAACTCCCTCTAAACTCTAAAAACAATAAATAAATAGACTCTTACATGAATTCGAAGGGAAAGAAGTAAAGAAAGTAACTTCTACACAAAAGGAATGGGTGGGGAAGCAATAAATATTCAGAAATTAGCCATTAAAAAACTTTAAAATAAAGAAGAAGCAGAGAAGGAAGGAGGAGAGGGGCGGGCGACAATCACGCTCCGTCAAATTATCGCCCCAGGCCAGCTGGCCTGAGTTTACTCTGGACTGGCCTCATTTGGGCCGGTTCAGTTCAACAGCAGAAGTTTCCGCTGCGAAAACTTTGCTCGTTCTCTTTGTGGGAGATCACGCTCCCGTTCCCTTGTTCCCGATGTGGGAGACCCCGCCCCCGCTTCTGTTGCAGGAGACCTTGCTCTCGCGTCAATCTCCTAAGATTAGGGGAGCTTCGACTTCATCTGTTGAAGATTCTGGTTCTCGTCGGTTGTTCCTGGTTCCCACTGGCGACTATGCTGACTCTCAAAGCATCTGCAGAGCTTTTCCCACTTGCGAGCAAACCTCCCATCGATCTGTTCTTGTTTGGCATAATCTGAGCAAGAGGTACATAAAGATGTAGGTTCTCATGAGCCAAATTTCTAACATGTAAATATCTCTCATTCTTCTCATCTATGACAAGTTGGCCCACAGAGAGGTTGAGGGCTTGAAAGCGTTTGGTTGATGTGCGATTCTTATTATCTTTCAGGTTTTTCCTAGACTCTTGAAGTTTTAGAGAACTAACATCTTCTGTTGTGTTGCAATAACAAGAGTCTCACACTGACATTTCTTCTCTTCATATGGAACATTGAAGGTGAAGGTTGGAAGTGTAGCGGTCCGTGATGCTATCAGTTAGTCGTCACTAAGACCATCCATTGAAATTTTAAATTATGGTATCTTCTAGTTTGTATGATCTTTATATGTTTCATCCAAAGTCGCATGTTTTTTTTATCACATTGAGGAAAGACATTGGATGTATCAATGAGCAAGGAAGTTCCACAGAGGAAGACACCATCTGATGAAAATTCTTGTTCGAACTACTCTTCAGTGTCTGTGATGTTCTTACCCCATTTTTCTACAATTCCCTGCTCAGTAAAATAGATCATTCCTCTGGTTGTGTGTTCTACTTTCACATATCTGAATCCGTGGCACTTGCAACACTTTCTGGCTGTGACAGCCTTGCGGATCGGTTTTGTTGGATAGTAAACAAGGGGGATAGCTTGGTGATGCGGTCACTCCACTTTTGAAGTTAGAGTCTACAATTTTTGTCGGTAGTAACTTGGTAGGAAATTGCGCTGTGTTTCCTGATTCATCTTCATCTTTTCTTGTTCCCCCTTCGACCTTTCGGATCACGGTCAGGGTAGTCTTCTATTAGATTTCATCTTACATGTTCGTAATGCATCACCAAAGTCGGCGGATCTCTCACCATATCTCCTCCCTTGAAAGCTCAAGTATGTATCTCAATGGTAGTATGGCTAGGGTTAAGGATAGGAAAAAAAAATTTTGGTGGGGTTAGGGTTTGGGCTGTGGAAGTGATATTTGGTGGTAGGAAAGAAAGTTTTGGTTTATGGCAGATGCTAGGGAACTCTAGGATAGGACTAGAGTTGGGCTAACTCTGATACCAAATGATGCCGAAACTAGTAGAGAAAATAATAGAAACACAAAAACACACTTTTATTAGTAGGAAAATAGGTTTAGAACATAACCCAACAGAAAATAACAGCACCGACATACACGACACAAACAACACCTCTAAAGTGTATTCCAAGGGCAGTGGAGGTCAGCTATCTGGATTAGGATGGTTGACAATAGCGGTGGCAGCCAAAGAATGCTAATAACAGCGAGAGGGAAGTGCAGAATTGCAGGGACAACAAGTATAGTGGATCATATATGACCGATGACAGGCGGAGGGGTGGTTAGAAGGTGCTGGATAATAGGGTCAATGCAGGAGATGGAGTGGCAGAGGCTGGGGAATGGTATTAGGAGTGACCGGCGGTTATGGGGAAGGAGGACAATGGCTAGATGCCAAAAGGGAGGAAGATACATACCACCTTGGAGGAGGATACAACTGGAGTAGCACCACCTCCTCGGATACACCCACAAAGGGGAAAAAGACTCCACACATGAATCTAAAATTAACACACAAAAAAAACATCCCCTAGACTCTGAAAACAACAAATAAATAGCTCTTACATAAAAAGAAAAGAAATAAATAAAGAAGTTAACTCCCGCACAAAACGAAAGGGTGGGGAGGCAATAAATATTCAAAATTAGCCATTAAAATACTTCTAAATGAAGTAGAAGCAACAAAGGAAGGAGGAGAGGATCGGGCGACAGTCCCTCCTTGTCAAATTATAGCCCTAGATCGCTCCGCCTGGGTTTACCCTGGACCAGCCTCAATTGGGTCGGTTCGGTTCAACAGCTTGAGTTTCCGTTGCAGGAAAACCTTCTCCTGCATTCCCACTGCGGGAGATCTTACTCTTGTTCCCGCTGCATGGGACCCAACTCCCACGTCCTCTACGGGTGACTCCTCTTCTGCGTCACTTTATGGCACAAATGTTGGCCTATAAAAGAGAAACATAAAATAATTTAAGTGTTGTTGAGATGAGAATGCTTACGTGGATGAGTTGCTTGATATTTAGAGACAAAATTTGAAATGAATGTATCCGTGAAAGGTTTTGTGTAGTTGCAGTGGTATATAAGATTAGAGAGAGTCGTCTTAGATGGTTTGGTCACATTAAACATCAGTCATAAAAATGTGTTCTAGATTCGACTTATGTTAAGAAAAACAGCGGTAGACCTTAAAGACTTCGACATATTGTATAAAAAACGATCTTAATTTATTATTAAATGAAAATATGACACTCAATGGGAAGCTGACCCCACTTTTGGGATAAAGGCTTGTTGTTGTTGTAAAGCAATGTTTTCACAGCCTTCTTTGCATCTTTATGTTGGCTGCTTTCCACTGTCTTTAATATCACTATAAATTACACTTCAGCAATTGTTCCATGCTTATTATCTCAAAAGGTACGAAAAAAAATTGTTACTAATGAGAATTTGCCAATGCTGCTTGATCATTGATGGTGAATAAATCATTTTATATGTAAGAAAATGTGTAACTTTATGCTCTTTGTGTTTCAGGATAATTTTTACCAAAAAATACACGGTATTCTCATTAGATTTCACAATTGCAACTGCTTAACAAACTATTCCTGTACACGAGAAAAAAACTGTCAAACAAAATATAGATTTTTTGGTCTGCTGTAGATGCCTATGTTAAGCTTTTTGTTACCAAAACGCAGTGATGTATGTTTTCCTAAAGTTTACTTACAATGTGATGTACAATCGGGTTTTTCTTTGAATCATGAAGTGCAAACAAAGTGCGTGTGCTAGTTAATTGAAATTCATATATAGCATTATACTATGTAACAACAATCATACATATAAAAACTACAAAATAATACATTGCATTTTTTTTAGGTTTAAAAAAAAGCAAATAAATGCTTCTAGTTGTTAAAGTCTTCTTCTTTGATAGGGAAGGAGTGGAGAGCTTGTGTCATGAGTTTTTATGTAGCCCTTTGAATAAAATGAAGTTGAACTCTTAATATTGAGGTGTGGTTTGGTATAGCAGTTGAAATTTCATCAAAAAAATTGAAAGTTAAGTGTGCTTGTATGGGTGCACTTTCAAGATCGCTGATCTCCTCGGAAGTTACACTAATAGGATATAATCGTGACCCATGGCCAACTCAGATAAAAATTTTTTTAGAGAGAGTTCGAGCTATTAAAAATGGCATCAGAGCGTTGCACCCGCTTGAAGATGAGAACTAAGTACTATACAGAACAAAGTATTACGACACGGAGCCTACTTCTAAATTCTAGATGGGATCTAGTGTTCCATGGTGAGAGCCACCTAAGGGTCCTTTTTTGATTTTTTTTTTTCCCTGGTATATGTTTCTAAGTTAAGTGAATCGAGTGTCAGTTACTTAAGTGGGAAAAATGTGAAACCCTTTTAATTAGAATGAAGCTAAACTTTTAAACATCAGGGCCTTTCGGTGTAACAGTTAAAATTTCATTAGAAAATTCAGTAATAAGTGTGCTCAGATTGTAGCATTTTCAAGATGGGTGACCTCATGGGAAGCTACCCAATGAGATAAAATTGTGAGACCCAGAGTGGACAATATCTTGATGGGATGTTATAGTTATACTAGGCGATGTTGAAGTGTGCACCTCACCACTTCAGTTATACTTTAGAGTATAAGCCCATCTCTCTATAGTTCGATGTGTAACCTTACCGTTCATTGCACCACAAAACATGCTTAAGAGTTTTTTTTCTATATTTTTTAATTGTTTATTTTAGGCATTTTTTGGCACTATTATACATTAAAAACCTTGTGATTGGTGTCCTTAAATGATCGTTTATTCTTAAAGAACTTTCTGTATGAGTTTGAAACAATTAAATTCTTTTCTTTTTTAAAATCTTCTAAGAAGCTATGCTAAATATAGCATTGTTAAAGGTGAGCGAGTAGCTCTCTTAGGTTCTTGGGTAAGGCAAAGCGAGGCCATAGTGCCTCACAAAGCCTCTTGCAATAGTGTTCCTTGGAAAGCTACTTGAGCTGCATGCATTGAGGAAGGTCCTTGCTATGATTGAAGAGGTGGATGCCAATAGTAGGTGATGATATTATGAAAAATTGAGATGTGGTATCCGAAGAACATCTTGTAATAGTGAAATAGGGATGCCCATAGAAAATTAGGACTAGATTTAGATAGATAACCTCAAAGTTTTAGAATAATAAATCTTAATTATAAAGAAGATGAATATGATTAGACGAAGGAATAGATGGAGGGTAAAAAACCCAATGTTGGAAAATATGGCATAATTGATATTGGAAATAATGGTTGAGATTCGATGCGAGAACTTACCACCTGTGATACTGTAGCAGCTACAGTACCGCATATGCGTTACTGTAGCTGCTATAGTACCGCATTTGCCTTACTGCTGCTACAGTTACCACAGTACCTTTTCTGATTTAATTCTCTTTTCTAATTTATTTTTCTTTCCTATCTGGTTCTTCTGCTCTAATTCCCCCCTTCCTAATCCTTCCCTAAAATTTCGGCCTTTTCTGCTTCTCTAGACATTGCCTATTTTCTCTACTTACCGTTTAACCTCTACTCACTTCTTATTTATAATTGTCGTGTGCTAATCAGAAGGGGGGAGTTTTATGAGTGCTGCCTTAAAGGCATTTTTCGCCTCCGGGGTACCCAATAAAGAGAAAGTGCTTTGGTTGTTACTCATCTGAGGTGGTGACCGGCTCCAAGAGTCTGTGTGATGCTTCGGCTATAGCTCGACCCCAACGAGAAATTTATCCTTCTACAACTCTTCGGGACCCGTTTCCAACAGTCACAAACCACCTTCTGGCTGCTGTCCAGACCATGCATCCCCCTTTTTGGTGCTTTCCAGCCCACATCATCCCTCTTCTGGGTGCTACACAGCCTTCCGGTTGTTGTCCAGACTACCTCCTGTTGATGCCCAACCACCGAAACATGTACCAGCTGCTATCTAACTCTTTAAGGACACTACTTCCTGCTGCCGTGTAGCCCACAACCGTCATCGAGGAACCGTAGCCCCTCCCCTACAGCCGCCAACCACCTTCCAATCCTCTTCCAGCAATTGTCCCCTCTCCTATAATTGCTAGCTCAACAACTGCAGCCATCTCCCAGCAGCTGCCCTTCCCTCCTGCCACCTCCCCTCAACCGTAGCCATTTTTTATTAGCTGCTAACCCACTGTCCAAAAGACTCCATCCTCGTTCTCACCCATATATCTTTTATTTATTTTTTTGTTCTTGTTTATTTGTCGTTACATCTTCATTTTCAAGTGTCATCTTCGTAATCCGCTCGGAATTCAGAAATAATGTGTTTTCGTTGTGGTTTTGGTTTCCTCTAGTATCATTTGGTATAAGAGCTAACCTAACCTTAGTCCTATCATAGGGTTCTGTAGCATCTGACCCCTCCCAAGCCATCTCCTACCAAAATTTTTCTACCCTAAAAGCTTCGATGGATGAAGTTAAAGCTCCCCGCCTTAGTCCTATCATAGGGTTCCGTAGCATCTGACCACTCCTAAGCCATCTCCTACCAAAATTTTTCTTCCCTAAAAGCTTCGATGGATGAAGTTAAAGCTCCCCAACCCCAGGAGATTGATGCTCAAACTTACCGCCGCGATGCTATAGTAATTACAAGATTGCAAAAGTGTTAATATGGCTGTTACAGTAACTGCGATCTCCTTTTAGATTTAATGCCCTTTTCTAATTTATTTCTTTTTATATTTGATTGTTCTGCTTTTTTTTCCCCCTTCCTAGTCCTTCTCTCCCTGCTTGGGCTGCATTTTAAATTCCGTCCTTTCCTATCCACTCATCTTTAATCCTTGCCTATTTTCTCTAGTTATCTAGTTTAGCCCCTACTCACATCTTATTTATAATTGATGTGTGCTGATCGGGTGGGAGGAGTTTTATGATTATAGATTTCTGCGTGCTCTCTTAGAGGCGTTCTTCCCCTCTGGGGTTGTACCCGACAACGAGAAGGTGTTTTGGTTGTAGGTGGTGATCGTCTCCAGGGCCCGGGTGGTGCTTTGACTGTAATTTGACCAAGATAATACATTTATTCTTCCACAACCCCTTTTGCCTCGTTTCCAACACCCGCAAACCATCTTCTGGTTGCTGTCCAAACCACGCCATCCCCCTTCCGCTGCTGTTTAGACCACGCCATCCCCCTTCCGGCTACTGGCCAACCCGCGTCATCCCTCTTCAGGTTGCTGCCCTGCCTTGCGACTATTGTCCAAACTACCTCCTGTTGTTGCCGTCGACACATGTTCCAGTTACTGTCCAAACTTTCAAGGACACCACTTCCTACTGCCCTCCATGTCACAACCCTTTTCTAGCAACCGCAGTCTCTCCCCTACAGTCGTCAATCACTTTCCAACCGTCTTCCAGCAACTGCAACCCCTCTCCTACTACTGTCAACCACTGTCCATGCCTCTTCCAGCAACCGTAACCATCTCCCAACAGCTGAACATCCCTTCTGCCACCTCCCCTCAGCCATAACCATCTTCCATCAGCCGTCGTTTTCGCTGTCACCCGCGGATATCTTTTATTTTTTATTTTGTTCGCGTTTGTTTATCGTTACTTTCTGTTTTTCAACTGTCATGTTTGTAATTCGTTTGGAATTTAGAAATAATATGTGATTCTGTTGTGGTTTGGGTTTCCTCCGGTATCAAAAGTAATCCCTAAGTTTTAGTTGGTGCAAACATAAATAAAATTTTCATGTTTAGTCTGACGTGTTTGTTTAGGATAATCTATTTACCGGTGATATTTAACTCAGAATGCATTGGAACTATAAATAAAATTTTCATGCTGAATTTGATGTTATGATTTTCATTTGTCCTCATAAAAATATTTATTTAACATTAAATTTAAATCTATAAGTGAGATAATTATTTTTGTTGACTCACTTCTCTTGAGTGCCTAGATGATTTTTAGTGTCGATTTCATTAAATTAATTTGTATGAAATACTATTTTCTACTCTCTTGTATTTTGGCATTTTAAATTATTTTGAATCTGTAATTTATAGGTGCACGTGCCACCTTCATGCATGCTTGATGGTGTGCATTCACAGCACTTTTTTGGATGTGGAGTCATTATATATCATACAGAAATCATTGGTTTGGCTGTGGTTGACAGAAACACCGTAGCTGTATCGGCGTCTGATATAATTCTTTCTTTCGCTGCATTTCCAGTGGAAATTCCTGGGGAGGTAAAAAAATCCATTTTCTCATTTCAACAATTCTTTTAGCTGTTTTTTCGACTGAGAAATATGCACCTTTAGGTTATTTTTTTGCATCCTCTTCACAACTACGCTATTGTTGCTTATGATCCTTCTAGCTTAGGAGCAGGTGCAACCTACGTTCAAGCAGCTACACTCCTTCCAGGTAGGAGTAGTGAGATGTACTTATCGTTATTGTATTAGTTTGTTCATTCTATTTGCTCAATCTTATAGGCGAGTAATCTATATTGGTACGGTCTACTATATCTTTCTCAAAATGCCTTTTTTTTATGCGAATTTCTACTCAAGAAAACATGTCCAGATTGCAAAATGGTGCTTAGATTATTATTTGATTTTAGATTTACCATTTTGTAGTATCATGGAATAAAATGGGTCAAAACATGAATTTTCTTAATCTCTCTAGTAACAAGTTTCAAAGTGCTATATTTAAACTATAAATCGATTTTTAAACTTTACTTTATTAAAATAACTCTAAAGGCCTTAGTTACTCGAGCATCATTTTTTATTGTTCAATGCATTTTTTTTGCGTTGTAACTGTGCTTGCTTCTGCATTTATAAGCCAGTACTTTCATAGTTATACCCTTTTTTATAAGCTATTTCATCATGGAACTCTTAGTGTGTAGGTGAAAATTCACTTTATATTCTCTTATAATGCCCATATTTGGAGAAATTTATCCCTTGTGTTATTTAGGAAAATATGCCCAAAGTTTGATTTTGGATGAAAATTACCTCATGTTGAAATATAAGGGATAATCCCTCTTATTGATGCAAATTTTTGAATGTGACTATAACTTGAAATTCTTTCTTATAAGCATCTTCTCTAGTAATTTCATGGCTTTATTAATTGAACTGCCGCTCTTATTGCCATTTCATCCCTTTTTTTTTTTTTTTTTTTTTGAAGCCTTCTGCAAGTTCTTTCAAGTTTCCCTTTCTTTTGCTTATAGAAAATGGTAGTATTAAAATATATATTTTTTATTTAGATTAGAATCTATTCATCATCCCTTTTAACATTGACAGTCCTCTCAGCTAATAGTAGGAAGCAGAGTTGTTTGAAAGCTATATTTGAAGAAGAACTTTGAAGGTGGCTATAATTTAGGTCCAAAAATGAATATTGAATGAGATCAAAACTGTTATAAACATAATACAAGGTTCGATCGAACACATAATGTTGTGTTCAAACTTTATTTGAATCTTGTTCAATTCTATAACCTTTGGTTTGAACTACATTTGAACATTCTAACTTAGTTCAAACTTCTATTTAAAAACCTAAGGTTTGGCCATATAGTTCAAAAAAGAGATTCATCCTGTAGAATGAGGTTCAAAACTTGTTCAAACCTAGTTCAGTTATTTATATAAACCTCATTTGACTGCTCTTTGCATCGAATCAAAGGTTGAAACCTAGTTTAAAGCTAACTCATGCTTTTCTTGTGGGCTTAGGTTGAATGGTTGGTTCAGAACCGAGGTTTGATATTGAAGTCAAATGAAATTCTAATTGAAGGATTGAACCTTATTTTATCTCATTTATTTGATTCATTAGATTTTCTTTGCTATTTCTGTAGATGTTTGACATGTTTTGTCCTATGGAGACAGTGTGCATTGCCATAGCATCATAAGAAGCTAGGGGTGGTGAAGAAAATGATCTGGCTACTTAATAGTTATGATCTTTTTAAGAGGATAAATTAACCTCTCCTTCAATCACTTTAATGCTCTTGACATTCATTTTTTTAGGGCCCTAACTCATCAACATTTGCTAAAAAGGGTTGCTGCAGGAAATGATTGTATTTCCATTGTATTCAACTTCGGAAGTAATATTATAAATTTGGAACTTTTGAATTTACATTGATCACTAGGTTGGGATTTGATGATTTTTTATTCGAGGAGAGATTTGAAATGACAAGGATCATATTTTTTTATAACTTCCTTATACAATGAATTCAAGAATGCTGAACTTGATAATGCATTAATGGAGTGCACTGTGAAGTTGTGAAAAGTTGGGACTTTGTTGTTGATGTGATATATCACGACCTTGTCTCGGAGCTTGGAATTTTCAAGGAGGGAACAAACTGTAGAGTGGTAGAGTTATACTATTTTAAAATTTACAATAATTCATAAAATTCATCCAAACGATAGAGAGTCACTAAACCAAAAGATCTCTAAAATATCATTTAAGCACATAAAATTAACCAATTTATATCAATTATTTTAATAAAAAAACTTAACACGATATAAATAGTTTCTTAATACAAAATATCCTTATCTATCTTCTCTTGTAAATAAATTTTTTTATGTCTGTCATTTAATTAAATTAACATTTTTTGTAATATTCATTTAAACATGTTAAGTTATACATTTTAATGAATAATTTTGATTGTGTTGTGTACTAAATTTTTATGCATGTGTTCCAACATGAATGTTGTTCATAAATGATTAAATTTTAAAATTTTATTTTATTAAAATTTTTAAATCCTTATATTTCATTTAAACTGGAATCTCAAAAGCAATGCCTAAATTATTGTAACAATTAAGATAAATGAATGTTTATTTCTTTTTTAAAATATTTTTATTTTTCATGCTCATGCAGGTGCACGGGTACAATGATGCCACCAGCTAATATTATAAGTGGGTGACTCCTATGATTGACTTATACATTTATTTTATTTTATTTTTATTTCTCTTTTTCAACATTAAAATATTTTTCCAAACTATAATCTTTCCTTTAATTTGCCCATACTATGTTATTTTATATTTGAAATCAGGAATGCATTTTTTAAAATGAAGGAATAATATGGAAAAGTAATAATTCACCTCAACTTTCAAATATTTGTGCTGTAATCTAATCTTTAGTCACAACTTTTAGTTTGGCACCTATAAACATAACCATGGTTTAAAAAAAAAATTTCAATATTTTTACTATTTTCTAAATACAATTTAGTATTAATTCTCTCATATATTCTTACGATCTTAATTTTAACTTTTAGGAAGTTCTAAAATTTTAAAATAATTCTTATATCCAAAGATAAGTTGATATTAATAACGACAAATTAATCTTTTAATCCTCCAAATGAATTTCTAAATTCAATATTGCTTTTTTAAAGTGTTTTACTGTGTTATCTTTCTATTTTATTCATCCTCTTGCAAGGTTAATAAATTGTCTTTTAAAATAAATTAAGTAGTGTTTAGCAAAATATCTCAATGGGATCTCTTTCCTGATCATTCCCTTATTCTTCTTCCAAATTTACTCCTGTTAAATTAAATTCCTAAGTATTTCTTAAAAATTTTAAGCCCACTATATGGTCCTAATAGTTATACAAATTAAAGAAATGCTAATAGAAACTTAACTCATGTCCTTTTCTTTCCAAATCAACAATAATTTAGCAATTCACATATTTCTCAAATGTCAATTTCTAACATTAATTCATAAAAGCTATTATTAATACATACTAAACTTTAAATTGAAATAATCATTAATGAAATTAATAACAATAGCCTAGCCTTTAATGTTGTATTCTCCTCCTCTGTTCGTCATATCTCTTGTACAAGTTATGCCTCCTTTGAGTAGTTGGTAAATCAAACTCTATTCTTCTAGCCTTCTCTGCTAATACACTATTCATCAATTTTTAAAGTAACTAAATATATTGTAATTGCATCTCTTAGTTTTAATAGAAAATTATGGAACTTGTTTGTATTATAAATAATATGCGGTGTATCCCTCAGTAAGATTATTTTATTTTTGTTTTGCATTTTGAATATTTGTAAGATGTCTCAAGAAATGGGAAAAAAATAATTGGCATATAAAAGTACATTTAAACGATTTTAATTTGATATGAAATGATTAGTAAATGCTTGTGTCAATTAGGATTCAACTCCAGATAATACTGGCAGTGGATGCTTATGGGTGCACAATAAATGAAATAAAAATGATAAATCTGTATCTTCGGGTATCTATATGTACAATTTTGAGGATATATTCGGGTTAGATGGTGATCATGATATAACATTTTAAATGTAAGGCAAATGCTAAAAAGGTAAATAGTTAAATTGAAATATGGAGTGTTAATTTAAATGGAAAGCTTATAGTTCGATAAATTAATGCACTACATTTCTTTTGATTAGTCATGCATAACATTCACATATTAATTTAATGCATAATAAGATTATAGTTGCTCAATAAGTCATGAAAATGCACTGTTTAAATTAATTGTCCTTCCATAAAAAAATGTAGATTGATGTCTGACAGGAGAGATTTAGTTTACAAGAGAAATACTATCATGATTGTAGTTTCTTTGTATTATTTACTTCTATGCAGAGATACTGTTGTGTATGGATTGAGATGTTTTGTTTGCATACTATGTTGTTATTTCTTGATATTTTGATTTTTATATAGCGTACTTTGTGGTTTCTTAGTTACTCTTATATGTATATTGGAAATTATGAAAATTTGTAGAAAGTAAATTAAATATTAATACCGTCCAAACGCAATTCTTGACTTGGTTAATTCCAAACTATTAGGTTGGGTTGTGACAGAAGGAACCAAAAGTGGATTCGAGCGACATCTAAAAGGAATTGGACAACATTTTGAGGTTTAGAATGAGTGACAATATGCAGAATGGGATGGCGTGCTATTCAAGGTTGTAGAAGATCGATTAGAAGGATATAAGGAATTGGACAACATTTTGAGGTTTAGAATGAGTGACAATAGGCAGAATGGGATGGCGTGGTATTCAAGGTTGTAGAAGATCGATTAGAAGGATATAACTTGAAAAAAGGGAACCACGATGAGAGGGGTCTAGTTGAAGGGTTGCATCCAACCACGCCAGTGCCTTTTAATGTGGCATCCTTTTGGGTGGAAGATAATTCGGGAGGTTATGTGGACAAACGAGTTGTTTATAGAGTGAGCCAGATTTATGGAAGAAGGAAAATCAATATGGGTCGAGGAAGGGAACCCAACCCCTGCATCATGGGTGGAATGAGCTTCGTTCGAGGAAATTGGAAAGGAAACTCTTGCATAATGAAGTTGAAGATGCCGATCTTTGAAGGAGAAGATGCCTATGGTTGAGTTTATCGCGTGGAGAGATACTTTGATGTTAATGGACTGACAAAGGAAGAAAAATTGATAGTTATGACTCTATATTTGGAAGGGAAGAC